AAGCGGTGAGAGCGGCCTTTACGTCAGTAAGCTCTCCTATTTTGTTTCTGTTTGTTTTTGGTGAGGAGAACTTTCGATCTGCTTAACTTCCGATCAGCTCAAACCCAAATTGAGTTCCTCACGACGAGGAACCCAAAGTCGAGTTCCTCATGACGAGGAACCCAAAGTCGAGTTCCTCATGGGTTCCTCTGGAGGAACCCAGCTCGAACCCGATCTGGGTTCCTCAAGACGAGGAACCCCCCAAAAAAATTTTTTTTTTTTGGTGGGGACGCAAGGACAAGCTAGGAAAAGTCCTGTGCAGTGGGTCCCACTGCACACGTGCTGTCCATATGTGCAAAAAAAAAGCCACATCATAAAAAAACAGATCCACATCTGAATCTAACGAATAAGGAAACGCCGCATGTGGATCTGCTTTTTTATGATGTGGTCTCTCAACTCAATAAATCCTTGATTTGGTCCTTATTGTTTAACATTTTGACCCCAACTTGATCTTTCCATTAAAAAACCAGTGACGTGTCCCGTTAATTAATGGGACCACAATGACACGTCAACATAACGTGACATGTCAGATGTAAACCTAGAAAAAAGATGATATGGCAATATGACATGTTTCTTAAAATAACTGCATACCTCAAAAAGATAACTTAACTAGTTAAGAGTTTGAAATTTTAAACTAAAAATCTCATATTTGAATCTTGAATCGATTGAAAAGAATTTTAAAAAATGATAAAAAAAATAAAGAGTTATCATTTTTTATATAATCTATTATCAAGTATAAAAAAATAATTTTATTTTTACTTTAAAAACTATGATTTTAAAATTTTTTAATAAATTTTTATTAAAATTATGTAATTTTTATTTTTTTATTTAATTTTTTACTAGTATTACTAATAAACATTTTTCTCTTTAGGAATACATCATAAGAGTTCATTCATTGCTCGTTGAGCAAGTTAGAAGCACCATTAACTGCCATCTGTCCTGCTTTAGGAAAAAAAAAATCACTTTTACCGGTAAGGAGCCGGGACATGTACACCTGGCGAAAATTTATGGCCGGCCCTCCACCTTACGAACTATGAAAGTGTTAGCCCTTCAACTTACAATATAAAAATTTTAACCCCTCATCTTTTTAGCATAAATGAAAAAACCCAAAATAGATGGAAGTGTCGTATACTCATTAAAATTCTATTATCCATTGCCATGCTAGTGCCAATGTGGCAATTTCTTGTCAGCATGGACTTCTATTACGAACAATAAAAATAAGATCTAACAAACCAATCAAATTAAGTGGATTTAAATTGGGTCGTCTCAAATTTTAGATTTATTGGATTTAATTATTTCAAATTTTGGGTTAAAGAAGTAGATCCATGATTCACCCATACAAATCTTAAATTGGGTCAAGTGGACCTAATTTTTTAAAAAATTAAAATTAAAATTATTTAAGATTTTTCTATTTTTCTTTAAAAAATTAATATTAATTAATTATTTAGTCGAAAAAATC